TCTCATCGTAAGCTTCTTCCCTATTTGAGGTGCGACATAGGGACGGGAGGTGCCTTGTTGCCCATACTCGGTAGGTTCTTCTCAAATACAACCATTATCACCACATAATTGTGAAACCTATTATCAAAGTTACCAAAGAAACTTAGAATTATACAGATCAATTAATCTTTTGAATTTCTTTTTCCATGTGGATTATTATTGACCATTGACAAGTGTTCATTAAACAAGCTATTCGCACCAAACTCGTTTGCTTCGAGGCCTCATGAGAAGTAGGTCCTAATCTTGTATTTGTCCAACCTATTTTTAAAGCTCTTTAAGGTTTCTGCTTCTTAGACTATTAGGCAGATTATTCCACTCATCAACTACTCTATTCCCAAAACTACTGTGGGTTGTTTGTGTAATTTACACACGTGTTGCTCTGTAAGATAATTTTAGCCATTAAAAAATCGTGTAAAATTGTTGATGAGTAAGACACATGTGCAACAGTTGGGTATCTTTGTTGAAACATTTTGCTTAGACAACTGTTGCATATGTGTCTTAACTCATCAACTTAGCTCTTATCCTATCTTAAAATTGTACCTAAATAAACTTTATTGTTGTAGGTTTATAAGGGCTGCGTCAGCTCACTAAGATGTAAACAAATACTGTTGTTGGTTTACAAGGGCTGTGTCAGCTCACTAAGATGTAAACAAATACTGTTGTTGGTTTATAAGGGCTGTGTCAGCTCACTAAGATGTAAACAAATACTGTTGTTGGTTTATAAGGGCTACATCAGCTCACTAAGATGTAAACAAATACTGTTTTTTGGTTTATAAGGGGCTGCGTCAGCTCACTAAGATGTAAACAAATACTGTTGTTGGTTTACAAGGGCTATGTCAGCTCACTAAGATGTAAACAAATACTGTTGTTGGTTTATAAGGGCTGTGTCAGCTCACTAAGATGTAAACAAATACTGTTGTTGGTTTATAAGGGCTGCGTCAGCTCACTAAGATGTAAACAAATACTGTTGTTGGTTTATAAGGGCTGCGTCAGCTCACTAAGATGTAAACAAACATTGTTGTTGGTTTATAAGGGCTGCGTCAGCTCACTAAGATGTAAACAAACACTGTTGGTAAGTAAAATGACATCATACACACGCTGCAGGTTATTGTTGTATCTTTTTATTATGACCTATCGTATACTGTAATCTATTTCGGGGACCGTAGTCAACGCTGTCCAGTCCTAGACCATGCCTGGGTGTTTGATTAATCTGGCTGTTGGCGTTAGTTGCAAGCATTCCATCATATGGACAACAGCCCGTTTGATCAGGAACTGCCTTGAGGTACTTATCAATTTCCCTCTTGTAGAATTTTTTTTTTTTTTTAGATTTTTAACCTGGAGGATTATCCACCCGGATAACCCAAGTCAGAGCATCATTGAGGACTGTCTTATTTCCTTTGTGGTCCTTCAATCTTGTCCCCCAGGATGTCACTCACGCCAGTCAACTAACACCCAGGTACCTACTTACTGTTAGGTTAACGGTGATAGCAGGCATAAGGTGACTAACACCCAAGTACCTACTTACTGCTAGGTGAACCGTGACAGCAGGTGTAAGGAAACATACCCAGTGTTTCTACCCGGCCGGTGTGTGTTGGTAATTCCTCTCAGGAATGAAAGAAGAGCGAGGATGCAGGGAAGAAAAGGGAGGTGGCAGGGAAAAGAGGGGGTGGCAGGAAGAAGAGCGAGGATGGCAGGGAAGAAGAGGGAGGATGGCAGGGAAGAAGAGGGAGGATGGCAGGGAAGAAGAGGGAGGATGGCAGGGAAGAAGAGGGAGGATGGCAGGGAAGAAGAGGAAGGATGGCAGGGAAGAAGAGGGAGGATGGCAGGGAAGAAGAGCGAAGATGGCAGGGAAGAAGAGGAAGGATGGCAGGGAAGAAGAGGGAGGATGGCATGGAAGAAGAGGAAGGATGGCAGGGAAGAAGAGGGAGGATGACAGGAAGAAGAGCGAGGATGGCAAGGAAGAAGAGGAAGGATGGCAGGGAAGAAGAGGGAGGATGGCAGGGAAGAAGAGCGAAAATGGCAGGGAAGAAGAGGAATGATGGCAGGGAAGAAGAGGGAGGATGACAGAGAAGAAGAGCGAGGATGGCAGGGAAGAAGAGGAAGGATGGTAGGGAAGAAGAGGGAGGATGACAGGGAAGAAGAGCGAAGATGGCAGGGAAGAAGAGGAAGGATGGCAGGGAAGAAGAGGGAGGATGACAGGGAAGAAGAGCGAGGATGGCAGGGAAGAGGATGGCAGGGAGGGATGAACCTCCCTACAGCTAGGTGCGTGCCTTGCGTATCAAAGAATCAAGTCTGTGGTTTACTCTGGGTATTCCTCTCCCTGGGTATCCCTCCCCCTGAGATTCATCCCCAGGGTAGACCACCACTCCCATGATACCAGCTACCCAACAGTGCCCAAGGCTGCTTGCAATACCAAAGGGCAGTGACCAAGCATCTTGTTAGTGAATACAGCAAGCACTGTACCTTGTTATCAAAAATTATAAGCGATTATTACTTTAGTAAGTTGTATAATTAACTACAACTGCCTTGAATAACAGAGAATAACATCTGGGCTTTATTTGGTCTGCTTGCGAGGTTAAAATTTAATTCTTATTAGAATTTTGCCCAGATAATTGTTATCCATCGAATAAGGTCTTTATTGTCGAAAAGCCTGTAGTTACGTATTATATTTCGTCTTTACTGCCATATTTGTTATATTGTTTGGAAGGAATGTTATTTTCATTTATGGATAACTAAGGTATAACTAATATGGAGACAGAAAGTCGGGGGACTAATTGATGTGTGTAGTGTTTCAAAATGATGGACTCGAGTTGAAGTCTTCTTGTAGGTGAAACTGGGTCCATCATTTTAAAACACCCATTTCGACCCCTTCTGGCATACCAGAAGGGTCGAAATTTACACATTAATTAATCTCCTGAGTTTGTGTCTGTGTGGATCATTGCTGATCATCCTGTGTTATCTTTCTGCTCTAGAACTGCAGACACATTCATAACTTTCAAAACTACAGTTAGAAAACATCTCCTGATCCACCCCGACAACTAACTACATAATAACAACCTGGTGGTTCACAATTACACTCACTCACACACTGACTATAAACCCAGAAATACTAATCTTAATCTTAAAATAATGAATCCTAACTAGTCATAAGTTTGCCTATGATACTCCAATATAGACATCTCGTATTGTGCCAGAACAAAAGCATTCACATTGCTAAACTCACAAATTATGATGTAGTCACTTAGCCTTAATACCATAATCTGTAAGGATTTAATGTTAAGAATTAATCTAAGTCTGCCTGAAATGCCTAGCCATGCTAGGTGTCCTAGTGGCCCCCTCTGTAATTAGTATTTTATTACATGTAAACCACACAATACCCAAAACCTCTAAACCTCACATTGTTTAGTTAGTTTAATATGTTTATTATGCACCCCATACCCATCCTGTGGGCGGTAGTCACCCCATACCCATCCTGTGGGCGGTAGTCACCCCATACCCATCCTGTGGGCGGTAGTCACCCCATACCCATCCTGTGGGCGGTAGTCACCCCATACCCATCCTGTGGGCGGTAGTCAAAAGATTACAGAGGTACATAATGGGTCCAGGGACTGGACTCCAAAGTTTTGATAGCTGAGCAAGTTACAGAGGTAATGAATTCACAATTTACAAAGGTAATGAACTCACAATTTACAAAGGTAATGAACTCCAGGTAGGTCTCACATTGTAACCCTTATAGAGAATAAACTTGAATTCAGGGAAATTATATTAGAGAAAACGTAGTGTTGTACAGGGCTAACTCTCATATACATTCGTAATACAATATGAAACTGAAACAAAAAAGCCGTTTTCTCGATCTTTTTTCAATACACGCTCGTTTTCGATGATTATCTCGTAGATAAGTTATTCATTTACATTTTAACACAGCAGCATTAATAATGCTAAGAATACAATGAGCTTCACAGACAATATACGTAAAGATAGTTACACAGATTACCATACATAGCAGCATATGTGTAGAGAACCTGGGATAACCCCAAAAAAAGTCAGTGACTTATTTCCACCTGGGTAATGTTAGTTATATTAGAGGCTATGTTAAAATATTTGTTAGGGTGGAGTTCTGTCATGGGTGTCAGTCTGTCAGCGAAAGGTGTCGTCGTTGTAGAGATGCTGGTAGTATCTTCCGCGGGTTTCAACGCTAGAGTTTGAGGACACTGAAGACTCTATTATATGAGTCTGACAGGTAGAGGACACTAAGGACTAACCAACCCATATCACGGGTGGGGTTTGAACCCGTGGTATGGTTTGTTTGCAATCGTGTCATTACGATTTCCTGAGACACTAAATACTGTCTTACATGAATCTAACAGTTAAAGGACACTAAGAATTCTCTTGCATGAGTCTGACAGCTAAAGGACACTAAGGACTGTCTTACATAAGTCTAATAGTCAGAGAACACTCAGAACTCTCTTGCATGAGTCTAACAGTCAGAGAACACTCAGAACTCTCTTACATGAGTCTAACAGTCAGAGAACACTCAGAACTCTCTTACATGAGTCTAACAGTCAGAGAACACTCAGAACTCTCTTATATGAGTCTAACAGTCAGAGAACACTCAGAACTCTCTTATATGAGTCTAACAGTCAGAGAACACCCAGAACTCTCTTACATGAGTCTAACAGTCAGAGAACACCCAGAACTCTCTTACATGAGTCTAACAGTCAGAGAACACCCAGAACTCTCTTACATTAAGTCAAACTCCACAACCAAATCCACCATATTCCTCTCTCAGTATTCACCCAGAAATCATCAGTCACACAATACTGCCGGAGGATTTTTAAACTGGGTAGTCCACAGAACAAGTTGGATTCAGCATAAGGTATGAAGGCTCGATCCTCTGTATTCTAACAATATTAACCAACATTTATAAGATTCTAATTCTGTATTGTTCTGTTTCTTTACAGAAATTGTGCAAGGTGAGGGGGCGCTTCCTAACACTGTCGAAGGTGGCATCCACTAGCGTCTGGCTCAGTAGCGTCTGGCTCACTAGCGTCTGGCTCAGTAGCGTCTGGCTCACTAGCGTCTGGCTCAGTAGTGTCTGGCTCACTAGTGTCTGGCTCAGTAGTGTCTGGCTCACTAGTGTCTGGCTCACTAGTGTCTGGCTCACTAATGCCTGGAGTACTAACGCCTGGAAAATTAACGCCTGACAAACTAGCACGCGGCCCACTAATGCCTGACAAACCAGCGCCTGGCTTCCGTAGCTGATGTATACTAGAGAACAGCACCTTCACCACTCATCCACACCACTCTACACTCACCCACACCACTCTACACTCACCCACACCACTCTACACTCACCCACACCACTCTACACTCACCCACACCACTCAAACACTCACCCACACCACTCTACATCACCCACACCACTTACACTCAACCACACCACTCTACACTCATCCCCACCACTCTCACTCACCTACACCATTTACATCACCTACACCACTTACATCGCACCACACCACTCTACACTCACCTACACCACTCTACACTCGCACTACACCACTCTACACTCACCCACACCACTCTACACTCGCACCACACCACTCTACACTCGCACCACACCACTCTACACTCGCACCACACTCATCCCACAGACTCTCAATTAATATCATGACTGACAGGCTCCTATATAATAATTATATCTTTAAAGAATATACTAGCATATATGACTAGCAGCAAGATATATATATAGAGAGAGCCTCTTATGAAGCTGGGAAGGTTTAGCACTAAAGCTCTACGATGTAATAGAGCTGGAACAGAGCACATTAAAGGCTCTGCAGGTTGGTGTATGTCAGTAGTGTGTTTTGTCCAGTGTTTTGGTTGGGTCAAGGAAGGAGTCCTCAAGGGGCATTCATTGATGCCCTTGAGGAGAGCTCTTGATGCAAGGGACTGGATCTTCTCTCCCATTATTACTATATTACAAAGCTGAGCGCTAAACCCACAAGGGTCATATAAGTGATCTTCCTTTAAGTGGGTAGACTATCACTACCTCCTACGACAGGTGTTATATGGTTCCTGTGGGTTTAACTCTCCATATTTTGTGATAATGAGGCAGTGAATACTCTTGCATCTTTGAGTAGATTCAGTTACAGTGGTTCTACCCAATATTATATCGTAAATATCACCAGATTATACTATAACCTGACAATTGGAGCATAAACACAATCTCTGACACCTCTATGTGAATATTGTATTTATTGTATATTTTGGTTAGGATATTGTGTGTATTTCAGGTACCGGTGTACTGGTAGTTAGAGTTGGTTCAACCCTTTATTGACTTGCCAGCTTCTCGCTGATCATGTGACCTGACCTGACCTCTGATCACTGTGGGAGACTAGAGTCAGTTGGTTGACCCACTGGCTACCAAGCGGTTCACTCTCTGGCATCCCCTTACATGGGAACACTCTTCAGGTGTTAATGGTCTCAATCTCATCCCTACCATTGAGAATTACCTGCAACTTATTGATGGATATATTGCGTTATATCTGGCAAAGACATATTTATGGTGTACAACCCTATTAGGTTTTGCCATCTGTATTACGGGAATTTATAAATTCCCGGTGGATTATTTTGATAGGGATAATTTTTATATACTTATTAATACATATGACCAATGTGAATTAAACTCCTATTTAACTCGCTTTCACAAGAGTATGAAATCATATTGATTATAATTAAGAACATAAGAACATAAGAATGTAGGAACACTGCAGAAGGCCTACTGGCCCATACGAGGCAGGTCCTTATCAAAACGATCTCTACCTAAAGCCACCCAAGAAATAACTCCCGTACCCCATGACACCAATCAAACCCAGCCCCTCCCACTCATATATTTGTCCAGTCTCTTCTTAAAGCTACCCAAGGTCCTAGCCTCTATCACCCCACTGGGAAGACTGTTCCACGCATCTACAACTCTGTTAGAAAACCAGTACTTACCTATGTCCTTCCTAAATCTAAATTTATCCAACTTATATCCATTATTTCTGGTTCTGTTAGGTAAGACACATATGCAACAGTTAGGTATCTTTATTTCGAAACGTTTCGCCTACACAGTAGGCTTCTTCAGTCGAGTACAGAGTAATCTTGAGTTCTGGTCATCCTTAAAGATTTTGGAAAAGCAAATTACTACCTTAGACTATTGTTGTGTGTGGAGATCTCTCCTGGACCAGAGTGAGTCAGTTATCTTGCTATTCCTGACTGGCTAAAACAGTTGAATAACAGTCTTGGTGTGCAACAATACCCATACCCATCATTCAGACCAGGTCCTGGTCTTGGACTTCTCTACAAGGGGGGCGGTGACCCCGAAATGGTCTTCAGATGGCCTCCAGGTCCCAATATCAAGTAACAGGGTCTAATAGGTATTTATTTTTGACCTACATATGACAAATGGTAGACCCTCTCATG